GCTATTACATCCTGGGAGACAATGCCTATCCCTTGCAAAACTGGCTCTTAAAACCCTTCCCTGACACTGGACGGCTAACAGAAGAACATGTGACATACAACAAGAAGATTTGCAGAGCACGGGTAGTGGTAGAAAACGCTTTTGGTAGACTGAAGGGAAGGTGGCGTTGCCTCATGAAAAGAAATGACTGTGATGTGAAACTTGTGAAATCAATAGTGCTGACATGCTGTGCTCTGCATAACCTCTGCGAGAGTCAATGGAGAGACCTATGATGATGGGTGGGATGCACCAGCAGCAGCAGAGCCAGGGGTAGCAGTGGCACAAGGTGCAGAGGAGGAGGGCAGGGACATACGAGAGGGTCTGAAGCGCTACCTGAATACCTATAATGTATAATGTAATACCTAAATATTCATTGTATGGTATTGAACATACATTTAAAAAAAAATGTCACATACATGTGTTTGTCAAATTATTTAAACCACATTTTTATCAGAATTGACTATTTAGTAAATATTTGAATTTCAAGCACCAGTATTTACTGCCCCATAATAATAATAATCTAAAAAATTAAGCAAATATCAAAGCAAACTATAAACATGAATACAAAAGTGTGAAACACAGCAGAACTATATTCAGCCTCAAGGTTCAAGGTTTTTTTATTTTGTCATACGAACATAGCTAGTGTAGTTATGACAATGACAATCTTAGGTCACAGGCTCCTCCAACAGTGCAACACAATAACCCAGATAAACAGAAATATAGTGCAAGTAAATAGTAAGCGCTGTGCACCGCTCTTTGTATAGGTGTTTTCTTTTGTTCTCTTCTAAATATATAAGCTATGTGTTTGAGTCGAGCACAACGAGGGTATTACAATTGAGCAATTTTTACTACATGTATTATTTATCATGTATTCTTAATACCATTACAAAATATGTAATGTTATGTTTTAGAGGAGGACCTCAAGCTAGAAAACTCAATTTCAAACAGTATGCAGAGTTGTCCTGCTAAAGACTTAAAATGTATTATTTAACCAAGTATTTATTCTCTTATTTGCTTTAATTGCAACAGATGATAAAGGTTTCACTGTACAGTGCTTTGTGGACGATGATGGTGTTTATGATATTTCTGACTGCAGAGGGACGCCTAGATGATGCCATCTTTCTGTGTGATCGCTGTTGGGTGCAATTATTTATCAACAAGCAATAAGATAAGTCAAAGAAGTACTTTATTTAACACAATTTGGGAAGTGTTTTCTTGCAGCAGCATAAAAAAGGCATGGCATTGTACAATACAAATTAAAAAAAAATGTTTGTATTGCAGCAGCATAAAAAGACATGGCATTGATTGTAAAAATAAACATTTTAAAGATAAAAAATAAACATTTAAAAAAAGATAAAAAAATAAACAAGAAAGTACAAATGTAAATAAACAATATAATCTCAGCCAGAGGTTATTTGTTGGATCACAGAGGCGGAGGAGACGGGGCACGTCGGCTGCCCGTTCCCCCTAGCACCTGGCAAAGAGTGTGCAGGAAGGATAAATTAAAGCTCTCTGCGTGAGCCATCTCCTCCCTTCTCAAGGCTGCATCCAACAGCCTCGCCTCCCTCGCCTCCACCAAGGCCTGGTTCATGAGCTGAGCCTGCAGGGCCCGGTCTTCCTTCAGCTGGGCCCGGTGTTCCTCCTGCTGGGCCCGGTGTTCCTCCTGCTGGGCCCGGTGTTCCTCCTGCTGGGCCAGGTTCTGCTCCTGGTGTTCCTTCTGCAGGGCCAGTTGCCGTTCCTGCAGGGCCAGATACTCTCCTCCTCGTTTCCTCTTGCCTGGGTGACAAGATAATTATATCAATAATAATTAGCAATAAGAATGAAAAAACACAGGACAGGTACAGGTCACACAAGGATATAAGAATAAAATGTATAAACAGAACAACAGTAAGGATGAATTAAAGAAAGTTCTGGCCCTAGATACTAGCTGCTTACTAGCTAGTTACTTTACTTGTAACAGAGCATTCCCACAGTGGTACAGCTTATTTTACTTACTGACGATGGATGGTCTAACGTTATTTTTTAAAGTCACAATTCCAGCCTATTTCTTACCTAGAACCACACGCAGCGGTGTCGAGCTGGCACTCGGCGTTGGTGTCTGTGGTCGAGCTGGAGTTTGTGCTGTTGATGTGGAGGATGTTGATGCAGAGGACGTTGTTCGGAACTGTTCCTCCTCGCTAGTCCCAATGTAATCATCTAGAACAGAAACATGACTTGTTCATTCCACAAACTACTGCAGCACAATATTATAAATAGCAACAACAACTATAGAAAAGACAAACTGAACGTAAACAATGGCACATGTGGTGTTAGCAAACAATAGCTCTAGCTAATGCTATCTGCCTTAGCTAGCTAGCTAGCCTTCGGGGCTCCATAAAAGCATGGGTTGTCGAACATAAATGTAAGAATAAAATAGACTTATTTGTTAGAAGTGAGCTTTAGAACAGATAGAGACACAAAGCTTTCAAGCAAATAACAGAGCGTTAGCAAAAACTTACCATGCAGAGACTCCAGTAACGCCGTTGCAGAGTCCACGCCTCCCTCCCTCCCAACACTAGCCGGTCTATGGCCGTAAATGGTGTCCATTAGGTCAAACCACTTCCAGTTTTTCCTACTGGCACCACTCGTGTTGTTGTTGTCTTTTACCAAGCTATATTCACTCTTCATCTTTTTGAGTTTTTTCCTACACTGCACGACAGTCCTTGAGTAACCGCTTGTGGACATCAGTGTAGAGACCTCCTGAAAGACTTTGCGAGTTGTCCCGTCGAGCTCCCGCTGGACCTTATCATCTGCAATATAATGGAGGAACGTCGTCACTTCTTCGACCGACCATGGTGTGCTTTTATTTGCCGTTGTTGTAGCTCCTCTGTTAACAAAAATGCTGCAAGCTTCGCTATATATATGCGACGCTAGTGATTATCTCCCGCGCCGATTGTGACGATTCTCTCCGACCAATCAGCAGCCAAGAGTGTTGACGTCACACACTCAGCCTGGTTGTCCCCTGGTTGTCCCTGGCCCTAGAACCACGATTTTATGAGGCCAGAAAAACTATGAATTAGGACCCGCTAGCCGGTACTAGGCCAAGTGGAAACGCAACCAAAAACGGGCCGCCGACGCCACAGCCCACCGTGCTCCGCGCTGTAGTGGAAACGCGCCATAAGTAAATAGTAAACAGGGTTGAGTGTTGTGTTACAATCATAGACTGTATAGGTTACAATACTGCAGCTCTCCAGCAGGTGGCGGAAGTACATCAAGATTAACTCTGCCTTCTAACAAAACACGCGAAGAAGAAGAGGAAACAGCGGTCTGTAGCAAACATAAACAAGTGATACAAATAACAGCGGCTACAACAAAATGTCGATTGTTTTTGTGCCGAAGAAACTACGAGGGAAGGCTAAAGTAAACCAAGAAACCATACAGAGGGTAAGACGCCCATAAAAGGGTTTTTAAACGAAGCGGCTAACTAGCTGTTAGCTCCCCGTACATTACCTATGGTGTTAGCATTAGCAGCTAACATTAGCCTCTAGCTATCACCACTTAGTTGTTTACAATTCATACAAAACGAAACCAGTATTAATTAGTGCTGTTTGGTGGGGAAATGTGTGGTTATAAACACAGGGGATTTATTATCATGTATGTACTATTGCTCAAATCTATTATAAATAGTGTGGGTAAAGTTGTTATATATTTCGTTTTGTTTTACAGTTGCTGGATGAAAACGACCAGTTAATAAGATGCATCACTGAATACATGCAGAAAGGCCGAGCAGTGGAGTGTGTTCAGTAAGTAAAACTAATCCTAGAGTTAAGGTGTTTTAGTAGAACCGAGATCATCTACTAACACAAGTGTACCCACTATGCAGCCAAACGTTATTTTAAGTTGTTACATTATAGCATATGATATCATTGGATTGTAAATATCAGTACTGGAAGAAATCCTCATATGCTTGAATACAAGTAGCAATAGTTGTGTAAACAAACTCTGTTATAAGTAAAGGTATTTATCAAGTAAATGTACATATAAATAAATACTCAGTATGCAAATTTGTATCCGTCACATTATTTATATTAGTTTCTTATTATTGCAGAAACATATTAGTTGTACTTTAGGATACAAAATGCTGCCTATAAAGCACATTGTTATTCATGTGTGTACTGTTGTGTGGTTTACTTGACCATATAGCAATGAATTGTAATTGTAATTAATTGTAATATGCTTATCAAAGGTTTTAATCAGCAATATTACTTAACAAGGAACATTAGAGCTAAGTAAAAAGTATTTCCCTCTGAAATGTTGTGAAAAGTAGAAATCTGCATAACATTTTAAGACGCAAGTATCTCAAACGTGTACATGAGCACAGTACTGGAGTTACTTTCCACCACTGTGTTATCTGTCTCGTTTCTGATGAGTACTTTCAGCTGCGGATTTTCTTCTGTTCCAACAGATATCAACAGATCCTGCACCGAAACATCGTGTATTTGGCCACCATCGCTGACGCCAGCCCAGACAACACGCCTCCTTCTACTAATGTAAAGACAAGCTTCACAATTCACCAATACCCAACAACACAGTAATGATATACATGGTAGTGTTCAATGACTATTTTCTTATTCCTAATAATCTGTTTCTGTTTCCAGTCGACGTCTAATGAAACCTCGATGCCATCTGTGAACGGACAAGGAGGGTCGTGATGAAGGCAGTAGAAAACATGGGAATCTTTTTACATCGCACAAAATGTTGTTTTCTGTAATGTTATGCATACCAGATACCCAAGACATGCTATATTTCATTTCTTAGTTATATGGAAAATTCTGTGAATTGAAAATGTTATTTTTTTGATTGAGTTGAACATTAAACATATTTTTTATTTACGCTGTGTCTTGGTTCAGTTGGTATCAATGCACACGTCGAACAAAAAGAAAATGTGAGCAACCTTTCAACAGAAAAACTACAAAGACACA